GTACTGCTTTATCTGACCATGACTCTTGGAACGCGGCCCTTTAGCAGCAATGCCCTCGACACAATTGGCGATCCATTCCGTAACTGATTGACGACAACCAACCCAATAAAATCTTTGTTTTAAGTTCTCCAAGGTTTTAGTGATACCCATGTGTCCTCGACTTGGACCGTTGTGCAGCTCGTTGAGAACTTCAGGAATTCTTACTTTTGGAACAATCATCAGAGCTCGTGAACTTTGCCCATCTTCGCTTTCCCATACGCGATGCAAGCAGCCAGACACTAACTTCAAACTATTCCATTGTGCCCAATAAGCCTTTGCGATTGGGCTTTTTGCAGTTATTTCTTCTCTCGTTGGATTATTCATCTCCAATCCGTGTATTACACTTTTCAAATCTGGATCCTCTTGCTGACATTTCCGTAGCTTCTCCGAATCCCAGTCTTATGTTATAGTTATTAATCGGACATCTATAATGTCTTCTTTGGCCTCAGCCTTTGAGCAATGTCTGCATTCCAGATTACAGGGACGGCGGGACATGGCATCAGCATTTCCATGACTACTACCTTTGCGATGTTCTATAGGGAAGTCGTAACTTTGGAGTCTCTCAATCCACCGTGCCAACTGTCCTTCAGGGTTGCTGAATTATAGAAGTCTTTTTAATGGTGCATGATCTGTCCTCACCTGAAATCGCTGGCCATATAGGTGCTTATGAAAATGTTTGATGAATAATTTCTCTCTGGCTTGCTTATGGTCTGGCTGTAATACGCAACCACTTTCTCATGCCCATCAATGACTTGTGATAGAACGCCGTCTACTGCAAATCCACTGCCATCCGTACCCAAAATAAACGCTGATCCTGGGACTGAAAATGCTAACATTAGCGCAGTTCTTAACCGCTTCTTCAGAGTTTGGAAGTCCGCTTCCTGTTCTTTATTCCATTCAAAAACGCTGTTCTTTTTTGTGAGTTCATGGAGGCTACTAGCTACGCTGGCAAAATTCGGAACGTATCATCTATAATAAGTACATAGTCCAAGGAAACTCCGCAATTCATGGACATTTTTAGGAGTGGGCCAATCTCTTACTGCCTCGATTTTTTCATTAGTTGTGCAAATGCCCTCCGTTATCACTTTGTGTCCTAAGTAGCTTACTTCCTTTTTGAAAAGGGAACACTTCTTTGGACTCAGCTTCAGACCAGCACTAGCTATCCGTTGGAAAACCTCTTCCAAGTTCTTAAGGTGTTCATCGAAGCTTTTACTCAACACAATGATATCGTCGAGGTATACCAAACAGGTCTTCCAGTGTAATCCTTTTCTCTCAAAAGTAGCAGGAGCGTTACATAATCCAAAGGGCATGACGGTAAATTGCCATAGACCATCACCAACGCTAAAAGCCGTATTTTCTTTGTCTTTTTCGTTTACCTTCACTTGCCAATAACCACTTTTTAAATCAAGTGTTGAAAACCATTTTGTGCCTGATAACGAGTCAAGTGTGCCATCGATTCTAGGTAGTGGATAACTGTCTTTCTTCGTTACATCATGTTGCCATCTTTCTTCTTCACAAGTACTACAGGTGAGCTCCACGGACTCTCTGATGGTTCGCTTACGCCGCTTTCGCTCATTTCACGTATGGTCTGGCTTAAAACTTCACGTTTTGTTAAAGGAATGCTCCGAGGAGCCTGGCGGATTGGCCTTGCATCACCTGTGTTAATAAAATGTTTCACAACTTTGGTTCTTCCTGGTTTGGCATCATCTTTATCAAATATGGATGAGTATCTGAGAAGAAGTTGTTTAGCCATAGTTTGATAGTTTGCCTCTAGTTCCTCAGTCCATGTGTTAATTTCACGAGATATATGGTTTTCGTTCATGGAATCTTCCTCAAGACGTATTTCGCAATTTATCACGGCCTCAATCTCGTGACACTGCCCTAATATAGCTCCTTTGAAGAGTTTTATTGGTTACTTGCACTCATTAAGTACTCTTACTGGAACACGTTTATCTTGTCTTGTCATAGCCAGGGTTTAGCCTATAAGTAAGTTTGTTGTAGAGTCTTTTGTGAGCTCAACAATCCACCACTTGTTTGGCCCATAGTCTCCATATATTTCTGCCCAAATAACTGCTTCTGATGTTGGTGGAATCTGCTGGCACTCTGTTGCTATCACTCGTCCAACATTGTACTTATTATCGTAACCGAACATAAGTGGCACTTCCATATTTCTATAGGACATAATCCTGTTTTCCATGTCAATTTTGATTCCTTGATTCGCTAGAAAGTCCACCCCAATTATGACTTTTGTCGCCGATATATGCCACTATAAAATTGTGTAAAACTGGGGTATCTTTTCCAGTTGTAGTACGTAACTTTGCCTTAGCTAATGGTTTCACTTCTTTCTCAACCAGATCAGATCGAATTATGGAATGTGATGCGCCCGTATCCACAGTCAGTATGCGCTTTTTGCCTTCTACATATCCACTAACCGATAACGTTACACGTATTCCTGCTGATTTGCGAAATGGAGATTACAGGGCATTTGCTTGTGGGAGCCAGTCCGTGTCCTTTTCGGCTGGCTCACTTTGGTTAGTTAGATTTGACATTTGCGTTTACGTCCAACTGGATTATCAGTCTGGTTACAATTGCGGGCAATATGTCCACTTTTTCCGCAGTTGAAACATTTAAGCACACCGTCATTTTTCTTATGCGCTTCCGTAGATTTTTCCAGTGCTTTCTGCATGTTGTCAAGTAATTGGTTGACCCAAGTGTGTTCCTTTATTTCTACTTTATGAGCTTTAAATGTTTGATTGCTAAGCAGAGATGCAGTTTCCTGTGTCAGAGCATCCGAACCGGTTTCCGCAAACGTCAATTTTGGACATGCTAATGCAGCAAAGCGTGTAGTGTTATCTCGTATTCCATTGACGAAGGTCTGAATTTTCACGTCTCCGATGTATTCCACGGATTTATATGCATAAGCTAAGTGAGCTAACTTCTCAGTCTCTGTAGAAAACTCCTGCAGAGACTCATTGGCTTTTTGGCGGCGATTTTGCAACTCGATTTGGAAGATCTGCTTCCTGTGCTAACTATCATACCGTCTTTCTAATGTACCCATCAACGTTTCATAACTACTTGCCTCGCAGTTTTAAATGGTCTGTAACATCTCCGCTGCAGATCCTTTTAATGCAACGAACTGCGACTTTATCTTCAGCGTTCCAATTATTTGAAGATGCCGTCTTTTCGAATTTAAGCTTAAAAATATGGAACGGAATAGTGCCATCAAAGGATGGAGGTTTTACCTTGGTAAAAGCTGACGGCATAATTAACCGATTTAATTGTTGCTCGCGGAGACGATCTCTCAATTCTTCCACTTCAGTTTTAATTCTATCCCGCTCTTCCGAAATCTATGACAACACTTCTGCTATTTGTGAGGTCACCTGCGATATCCGTGTATCCTGCTCTTTCAACTGTGAGGACACCTGTGCTGATATACGTGCATCTTGCGCTGCGAACTGTTCTACCAACTCTGAGGGCACCTGTGCTGATATACGTGCATCTTGTGGTGCGAACTGCTCTCTCAACTGTGGGGACACCTTAGCTGATATATGTGCGTTGCGAACTGCTCTTTAAGCTGTGTCGATATTTGCGTTGATATCTGCGTTGATATCGGCGTTGACAGCTGGGACATTGCAGCCAAAATCATGTTGGTGTCCATAGCATTTGATTAGCGCGTCTCTTTCATTTATTCTATCTTTGTCGTCTTTTCCTCTAATTCCAATTGAAAGACATATTCCTCAACATTAATATTATCCATTTCCCCTGGCCTCTCTAAACCGTGATTGTAATTCAGTTTTTAATCTATTTGTCGCCAAACCACGTTGCTCCAGCTCCTTTTTCAGTTGTGGAATCTTCAGATAGTTAAACTTTGCAATTTTCAAATAATAATCTCCTTGTTAATTTGTTAGACAATCCCATTTCTGACACCAATTGTAACGGATTTCTCGATAAATCGTCTACCTTGTAACTAACTCTTGAGTTGGATCACTGGATTGTTAAATTAAAGTCCCAATATAATGTTATTTACCTTATTTCTAAATCCAACAACTTAACACTTATTGCTCGCTATTCGAGTTAACAAGTTATTGCTTATATCTTAATTTCTCTTTTACGCTCTAATAGGAACTATGTTTGCTGCACAGTTCGGCAGCCCTTATATAGTAGATCTTTAACAAAAGTTCGCCACTGGAACATTTTGGCAAGTACTTGTAGGAATCCACTGTCTAGTTGCTTCTGGCAATTTATCGCCGGTATGAGTTTGTTCTATCATCCGTGTGGAAAACTTTAGTTTAGCATCCCACGGTTTCAGAGTTAAGTATGTTTGGATAGAGGAGATTCTCCAAATCACGAATATATATAATTATTGCCGCCGGAAACTTATAATTTTCGAGATATTTGCATTTTAAGTTGAAAATTTCACAAATTTTATTTTACAATATTTGTAAAATTTTTTATTACTCATATAACGAAAATTGTGTAAAAATTAAATGCTTATTTAAAGCAAATACTTAAATATTTACTATAAAAAAAATATGTAGAAACATTGAAGTGAAGTGTTAGTGTATAATAATTGCATAATATAAAAGAAAAGTAATCCATAAATACATATTCGTGATCTGGAGAATCTTCTCTATCCAACCATACCCCTCTTAACCCGGAAATCGTAGAATACTAAACTAAAGCCGACCCGACAAAATATTTAAAGCTAAATTTTAGAATAGCATCCTCCGTATTCGTGGTTAAAATTGAAATGTGCGGTTAGAGGAGGCTCTCCAGATTAAGAAAATATATACATTTAGTTGCCGCTTACTTATAGTTTTTGCGATATGTGCATTTAAAGTTCAACACATTAAAGTGCGTTCTTCTTTGATTATAAAACAGTTTACACTAATATTTTTTGCTATTATTTTTACTAACACAAAGTAGTTTCCACACATATATTTTATGGCATATGGTATACGTTGGCAATATTGATTGCAATAAAGTTGTATGGCCACATCGATTGCCTGTCGAGAAATCGAGTTAGGCTTTTGACAATTTGTGATATTATTTTACCCTACCGTTCACAAATTCAAAATAAAAAAGAGTGGTTTTTATATACTTAATTAATCATAAACCTCAAAAAAGTCAGATGGTGTATAAAATGTGTTTTATAAAACTTGTTGAAATATAAGATTTACCAGCACGAAGTAAGAATAATAATTTTATTGCTTTAAACTCATTTTTGATGTATTTATATTTAACTTATTTCATTGTATTACTCTATGATGATCCAGGACTTTACAGTTTTATTTAGTTCTTAAAAAAAGATTGGTGATAGGGGAAAGATGTGATAGCAGAAACAGTATTTAATGGTAAATTTTGGAATAGCATCCACCGTATTCTTGGCTAAAATGGGATTGCGCGGTTAGAGAAGGCTCACCAGATTAAAAAAAAATTTATATAAATTTAGTTGCCGCTGGCTTATGATTTTCGAGATACTTGCGTTTAAAGCTTAAAATTTCAACAATTTAAAGTGCGTGTTTCTTTGATTAATAATGAAATATGCACTGACATTTTTAGCTTTTACATCCACTAGCACTTCACAAATTAGTTTGTACCAATAGTGCAATAATAGCCTTAATTCTATAATTAATTCATTGTTCAATTTGGTTAATGTATAGTTTAGTTCCCCCAACGGTAAATGTATAGTTTAGGTCCCCCACATAAGGAGGCCCCAAAAATGAAATTTTTTTTTGGGAAATCTTTAGTATAACGTCCCACGCTTTCGGGGATAAAATGGGTATGGGCGGATAGAGGAGATCCTCCAGATCAAGAATATATATAGATATAGCCGCGGGAAACTTATAGTTTTCGAGATATTTGGGTTTAAAGTTTAAAATTTCGACTATTTAAAGTACGCATTTTTCCCATTTCAAATGAGTTATACACTTATATTTTTCACTTTTATATCCACTAACACTTCACTAATTCGTTTTTACACATGTTTTTTACATTATATAGTGCAAAAATAGTTTAATTCAATAATTAAATTATTGTTAAATTCTATTAATTCTGACAATAACAAAAGGGTTGTAAAATTTCAAATAACCAGTGTTACCTTATCGACATCTTTTGTAATTGAACTGAAAGAAATTAAAACAGATAATACCCCAAATGCAGGAATCCAAAACCTAGAGAAATAAACTATTACAAAGCATTGATGTTAAGTATTATGTTATACCCTCTATGACAATAATCCTTATTTCTTGTAGAACTTCTTTTTCCGTTGGCGGCCTCGGCCGCGCTTTAAAAAAATAACCCTGGTCGGTCCAACACCGGGGTGTATCAAGGTTTTTTGCGTAGAATTCCTTTTTGCGTTGGCGGCCTTCGGCCGCGCTTCAAAAAAATAACCCTGGTCGGTCCAACACCGGGGTGTATCAAGGTTTTTTTGCGCAGAACTCCTTTTTGCGTTGGCGGCCTTCGGCCGCGCTTAAAAAAAATAACCCTGGTCGGTCCAACACCGGGGTGTATCAAGGTTTTTTGCGCAGAACTCCTTTTTGCGTTGGAGGCCTTCGGCCGCGCTTCAAAAAAATAACCCTGGTCGATCCAACACCGGGGTGTACCAAAGTTTTTACGCGCAGAAATTCTTTTTGCGTTGTTTCCTGTATCTAAGGCACAATCTCTGTGTTTATTTTATTTTTCTTCGTTTACAAAATATATTAGTATGGCAACACTGATGTTTTGACATTCACAACCATTTTGTTATTGTCAAAATTAATAAAATTGAAGAATGATTTAAATATTGAAATAAAGCTATTTTTGCAGCATCTAATATAAAAAAAATTTGTAAAAACGAATTAGTCAAGTGTTAGTGGATATAAAAGTGAAAAATATAAGTGTATAATTCATTTTAAATCGCAAAAATAAGTACTTTAATTAGTTGAAATTTTCAACTTTAAACGTAAATATCTCGAAAACTATAAGTTTCCCGCAGCTATATCTATATATATTCTTGATCTGGAGGATCTCCTCTATCCGCCCATACCCATTTTATCCACGAAAGCGTGGGACGTTATTCTAAAGCCGACCCTTTTTTTTAAATCGTCTTCTTTTTATGCGTAGATTGCAAATCCGTGAGCGGAAATTGAATTTTTTCAATAATTTATGTATATTTTTCAATATTTATTTACACACTTTGCACATATCACATATTCAAGTCACTTAGTTGTTGTTGCAGTGGCAAAATTCTGTAGAATTTAGAGCACTTAGCCGTAATTACCAGTTCAGTGTGTTAAACATTTTCTTATGAAAAAATATACTGAAGAAATGTAACAGTCAAAATTTCATTTGTGCCGCCATTTGATGGTATGAACGAATATCGGAGATCGTCGAACTTCTTTCCGCACTGGCGGCCTTCGGCCGCGCTTCAAAAAAATAACCCTGGTCAGTCAAAAACCGGGGTGTTCATAATTCAATCGCGTCACATATATCACCATGTTGTTGTTGTTGTAACGGTTACCTAGTCCCCGTTTGGGTGATAGATTCCAGATTCGTTGTCGTCGAGGTCATCTAACGGGAGGCCAAGGAAACGAGGTGTTTCGACGTCGGACCATAGGGTGAAGGGTGTTAGATGAGTGGGGTTTGTTGGGCATGCAAAGAGGTGGTTAGTGTCATGCGGAGACTCATTACACGAAGGACATGTGTTTGGTATGTCGGGGTCTATTCTGGATAAGTAGGAGTTTAACCTGCTACAGTATCCAGAACAAAGTTGCGCGAGGGTCAGTCTGGTTTCGCGAGGCAACTCGAGCTCTACGTCTGCTATGGGTGGTGGTTTGACTCGTAATACGCCATTCACTGAGAGGTAGTCGGTGAAGGTGTTGATGGCTCCACTGTGAATGGCGGTACTGCCTAATGTCGTCGACGAAATCAAGGAAAGACCTCTTGATGTTCCTAGGAGGCGGCTCCGCTACAAGCAGGCGACTACAGGGGTGGTTTCTACGAAAACACCTCAGCAGAAACTGCTTGGAGAGGAGTTCGTTGTGTTCCGTAACCGGAAGCAAACAGTCCTCACTATGTAGGTGTTCGATTGGAGACATCAAGAGGCATCCCGTGATAGTCCGAAGTGCAGTGTTCTGACAGGTCTGAAGCTTCTTCTTCTGCGTGTCACTGCATTCAGGCGACCATATTGGGGCTGAATAATTTAGTACCGGCCGGCCGATTGCCTTGTAAGTTGTCAACAACGTTTCTTTGTCTTTTCCCCAAGAGCTGCCGGCAAGCGACTTGAGGACACCTCAAGTGTGTTCACTACTGGGGAAAGGAGAGTTATCGGGCGATAAGATTCCCCTTTGTTGGAGGGTTTCCCAGGTTTCAGTAGGGGACCACTCTTCCGACTTTCCACACATCGGGTATTTAAAGAGTAGATATCGACAAGTGGAGGACCTTCGTGAGATAGTTTACTCCCATTGGGCCTAGGTGTTTTAGCATCAGCATGCTTATTCCGTCAGGGCCGATGGATTTAGACGATTTCACCTTTTTGATGGCACTTTGAACCTCCCCATCGGTGAAAGTAAGTGGTGGCAGTCTTTTGGCATTTTGCGCAGCCGTCGGGTAACACATCGTTTGGCGCACTTCTTCGTCGTCATCGAATTGAATTTCAACCCGGTCGTCATGTCTCCTCGGATTAGACAAGGCCTTGACAGTATTCCAAAGCTTACTCACACCGGTGAAGAGATTACAGGACTTCAGGTGTTCCACCCATTTTGTCCGCTTATGTTTAGCAGCAGCGATCACCTTGCGGAATTGACGCTCGCCAACGATGACGTCCGTAGGAATGGGTAGTGCGTTGAAGGTGCTCTCAGTAAATTCTGTGAAGCCGACCCAGTTAGCTTTGTTAAAATTAATAAAGGTGCGATTGTCCACAGAAAGATGAAATCTAGGCCTCTACCATTATCTCGCTCGCGATCCTTACGTAAAACGTTGAAATCTGCACAACTCAGAAAATCTGAGCGGCTGTTTAACTTGGTTTCTTGGACTGCAGCTATCGATATGCGCTCCCGGCTCATGAATGCAATTATCTCCTCGATCTTGCTCTGTAGTCCGTTGCAGTTGAATTGTAGGAGTCGCGTTTGTCGCGGGTGTCCGGTCGTGATCCTAGGGGTAAATGGGGTGCATGTATGTGGTGTTGATTGGCGACGCCACTGTATGTGATTGCGGGGGCAGACTCCTACATCATGGGGCAACATACGACGCACTCCACTCTCGTGTGGTGCGCAGACCGGAACACGACAGAAAGTGACACCAGCCAGTACAAGAATCGCACTTGACTGATGTGACTTTCCGGCGTATTACGGTTAGACATACGGAACAGACTGTGCGAGGAACCAGGAGTTGCTGGGTGGTTCTCGCACGAGGATTGGAGCTGGATGCAGGTTGGGGGGGAGGTTGGTCAGACTGGGAGTCATGCTGTCTGTGTGAGCTACATAGGGCCGTGGAGGTCCTATCTTGGCCACTCTACTGGAGCGGCAGCGCAGTGCGCGAACATGGTGCAGGTTGCACAGCCGTTGAAGCAGATGTCGCATTATTGCGTTGACAGCATGGGGCCACGTAACTCGTGGTCCACTCCCTATGTGTCTTAAGGCCTGAACAGGTCTTAAGATGGCTCCATCCATTGCATGTATTGCACCTAACTGAGGTCGAGTTTGGATGGAGCCTTTTAGAGCAAACGCAGCAGTAGAATTCCTCGGGGCACGGGTTGGACTCGATGCCTGCACGGTTCAGGAGGATACGGAGCAACCCTGCTGCTAGGCGATGCTACAATGACGATAAACTAAATCTAGAACTTACCGATCCAAACAGGGTTAGATCGTCGAAATAACAGCCCTTGGCCGGATAAAATCCGGAATGGTTTCGCAGAACCGGCTGTTGTGGGAATTGCCCACCATCGCTAGTTGTGGTCTGATAAACAGAATAACGTGGCGACCTATTCTAACCCTCGCATCAGAGCACCTGCCCATAATAATTTCGATCGGATAACTAATGACCTTATTTCTATGGAAAACCGTACCTTTGTTAACTTTACCAAAACTAATTGGGTCGACTTCACAGAATTTATCGAGAACCGCACTACCCATTCCTACGGACGTAATCGTCGGCAAACCTCAATTCTGCAATAAATCAGCAATCTTAGCGCGACTTCTTATGTCAGGTC